GAGTGCGCGGGCCCGCCCGGGTTCAGTATCGCGCCGACGGCGGTCGAGCGCGAGATGTTGTTCGGCAGCACCAGGAAGCTGTTCGACCCCGGGATGATGCGCAGCCCGTACCGCTCACCCAGGCTGGTGCATGCATGCATGAGCGCGTGTGGAGGATAGACGGGAGCCGGGTCGCTCACCTATCAAAGATGTGGTTCTGCGCCTCCGCCGCCTGGCGCCGCGCCCACTGGCGGTCGGACGACGGCTCGTCGGGATCCGTCCAGAAGCGCCACACGATGGACGCGTCGCGCTCCTCGACGAACGATCCCGGCGTGCGCTCCGTGAACTGCCCGCCGCGTCAGCCGCAAACACAGTAGGGGGACGAGCGGGGGGCACTCACGTAGTTGAGTATCTCCAGGCACGCCGCCTTCCAGGTGAGGTTAAAGTTCGCGACCATGCTCACCCACGCCGCCTCGCTGTGGCGCCCGGGGCGCGTGCGGATGAAGCACCCGTTCTCCGACCTATGCGCCCGGTCCGCGATCAGTGTCCGCCACCGACGAGAGAACACATCCGACTCACACAATCCCGACCTTTGGCGCGGCCTCGCCCACGCGGTCCAGCATCCCGCCCACCTGCAGCCCGCTCAGCAGCCACACCTCGTTGCGCGCGTCGTCCGCGAGCCTATTCAGCACGTCGATCACCTCCGCAGGCGGTACAAACTCGCTCTTCCCGAGCTTGCGCAGGTCGCGCACCCACATCGTGCCCTCGAAATCGATCAGCAGCAGCCGCTTCGCGCTGTGTCTGTACCGCGGCAGTACGCGCGCAACGTCGAGCGACGCCACCTCTGCTGCGTCGCCCTGCATGTGCATGTGCTCGATGCTCGCGCGCAGGCAGCGCACGAGGAACGACGTCACGAACGCCTGCGCGCTCTGTGTCACGACGTGGCTGTGGAGATCCTGCGGGGTGAGCGTGAGCGAGCGTGCATGCATGTACCGCAACGGAACACATACCTCCCAGCGGGAGAGCGCCTCGTCGTCGCTCATCGTCAGAGCCTGCGCCATCAAAGGGGTGAGTAAAATCCGACGCCCGAGACGCAAGCCACCGCACCTGGTGCATCGCATCTGCCGTCATGCGCTTGTCCCAGGGGTTGATCGGGATGCACGACCGGAAACCGCTGTAGCTGTACGAGCCCGTGAACTAGATACGCGCCCCATCAGCCTCGAAGAGGATGGAGAGGATGAACACGGACTTCGCTCAGAATCAGGGGCCGATGGCGCTCCTCCTGGCATTCGACAAACTCGTGCGTGCGCAGGGCCATGCCCTCGCGCAGACTCGTCACGACGAATGCATCGGCGACCATCAGTAGCGCGAGGTATTGGCTGAACGTCAGGTCTTGCGTGTGCAAGAACACGACAGGCTGGTATGTCAGCGTCGAGAAACGCGAGTTGAGGTGGGACACGACGTCCGCGACCCCGCCCTGGATTTCGTTCTCCTCTGTTGTCTGGAGCGCTACCTGGATCAGGACAGCCTGCATTATCGAGGAGGTCAGCCATGCGAGAGCTAGACACGAGGTGCAGACGGACCTTTCCCTGGTATTCGGGGTACTTGTCGAGGAACGCCTCGAATGCCTGGATCTTCTGGCGCACGCCCTGCAGGTCGCTCGATGACAGGCCGACGGGGGAGATGGGGACCGCTCACCTGAATCCCATCGAGCTTGTCGCGGCCGACGATGATCTTCATGCCCGCATACCGCTGCCTGAGCGAGCTCACCCAGTCTGCAACGAGGGGATCGCGCCTGCCAGCGCATGATACAATCAGACCCGTACAGACGGAGATGTAAAACACGCGAGACGCACTTCTTCTCTGTCAAGCTCCCGACATCGATGCCCATGGGGAATACGCTCACGTCGACAAAGCGGTCCTCCAACTGCACGCCCTTGGGGAGCGCCTCGACTGCAAGGATCCGGCTGACCGTCTGGCGGAAGTGGCGGGCAAAGTTGGCCGTCTGGAAGCCGATGAGGTCGGCGCCGAGGAGGCCGCGCAGGAGGTCCTCGCGCATGCTGAGGCAGCGGAAGATCTCTGAGGACGGGAAGGCGACGTGCATGAAGAAGCCGATGGGCGCGGTGGAGAGGCGGGCACGGAGCAGTGCGGGGAGCAGCATGAGGTGGTAGTCGTTCACCCAGATGATGTCGCCCTCTGCGTAGGCGGCGACGATGGCGTCTGCAAAGCGCTGGTTGACGGCGACGTACTGTTTGAAGGAGGCGGACTCGTAGAACGACTTTGTCTTTGGAGCGTCGGGGATGGCGTAGTGGAGACAGGGCCAGAGGACCTGGGCAGGGAGTTGAGAAGGAGAAGGGGGAAGAGGATGATGGGAAGACGGACCTGGTGGCAAAACTCGTCGTAGCAGCTGGCAAACTCTGCGTCGGGGATCCAGACGGGGAGGCTGTCGTAGTTGTCGCGCATGCGCCACTCCATGTTGCGCTTGAGGCTCTCGCGGAAGCCGTCTGTGTTGGCGCCGAGGGTGCCGACCCAGAGCTTGCGCCTGAGGCGGGAGCCGACGCTGTCGACGGCGTTCTTGAGGCCGCCGTTGCACTGGAGGGGATCAGGCGGGACGGCAGCGGACGAGTGAGCGGACGACGTACGTGCGGATTGCTCTCGATGTGCCATTTGGTGCCGTGCAGGCCAGGGTCGAGTCTGGTGGAGGAGAGGGAGCGGCTGGAAGTTCGGGCGGCAGTGCTCCTGGACATGCGGCGCTGGACTCTTGTCTGGCCTGCGGTGCTGTTTTGGTGCGTTGTCTGGTGTCTCTTCTGGGGGCCTCCGAGGCCGTTTATGGCGCCGCTCGTCTGGGGGTCGTTGTCTTGTGGCGCCTTTGCAGACAGGGCATCGACGAGGGAGGTGGAGGAGCTGTTGGGATTCTGGGGGAGGGTGAGGCCGGGGAAGGAGGCGAACGGGTTTGTGGGCTCTGCATGGGGAGTGGCAGCCGGGGTGATCTGACGGGACTGGGGGGGAGACCGTGAGGGGGGAGAGGATGGGATGGGGAGGGGGGGCGGCGACGGACCTTGTCTCTGAGATCCTCGACAATGCTCCTGAGCGGGCCTGCAGCGCGGAGGATGGGCGGACGAAGGGTCGAGTTTGGGTGGAGAAACGAGGGGGGGCCGGGGGCGACAGCGATCTCGTCGGGGGACGGGGGGGTGGAGTCGCCGAGGACTGCGGTGGAGGGGAGGAAAAGCGAGGCGATGATGACTCTGTGCGACCGGAGCGAGTTCATCGCGGCAGATGCGGGCACGGCTGGCGACTCGCTCAGTTTTGTACGGGGACGGGGACGAGATCGGATCCATCACGTGACTCACCTGGGAGCTCGGGACTGCGGCGCGCACTCGCACTGGGGCACGCATGGGTGGGCAGACGACGATCGCTGCACACGTACTCGCCGCTTTTTCAGTCGCCTGTCCCCACACGTTCGTCGCCCCATCGATCCAACGCTCGGTCCCAATTGGGCCTGCGCGTGAGACCACTCGCCTGCTGGCATTCACCCTCCCGGCTCCAGTCGCAATATGGCTTCGACTGCCAGCAACATGGGCCACAGTCACCTTGAATAATATGCCCAGTGAGAGACACTCACAACGCAGAGAGCAACATAGCCTACAGTAGATCACATATTCTCAGCTTGCAGACAAAATCATTGCAATATCTTTCCCTTGGATGTCCTCCTACTCCTCGTCCTCCCCCAGCTCTTCGTCCCCTCCGCCGTCCTCCCCGCCCGCATACCCGTCCCGTAGCTCCCACAGCGCATCCCGCAGCTCCTCCACCTCGTCTCCCTCCAGTCCCACCGCGGCCAGCACCTCCGGCTTCCGCCGCCCCACGTCCTCCACCAGCGCTGCGTACCCACCAAACAGCCGTGCCGTGTCTGCCCCCGTGTGCACCGACGCCAGTGCACCCACCGTCGGGGCCGAGTACGGTCGCCGCGGTGGCGATACGGCCGTGGGAGCGACAATGTGCGGGAACGACGTCGGGATTGGGTACGCCGGCGCAAAGATCCTGTGCATCCAGCGTGAGTCTGGTCTCCTGTACCATGTCGCGCGCACAGAGTAGACACCTACCTGTACGGCATCGGCCTGCACCCCTCGCTCCAGCGCTCGAACACTCCCCGATCCGATGACGAGAATCCCCGTGCAACGTACATCCTCGCATACTCCAGCCGCGTGTCCTGACGATCGCCTCGCATAAGCCCAACACGCGCCCAGAAACGTTTGCTCACCAGTCTCTCTGTCGCTCCTGACGGGAGCGACGAGAAATCGTACAGCCTGCGCTTAAAGTCCCGCTCGGGCTCGAGTGGCGAGTCCAGCGGGAACACGCCCGAGAGATGCGCAAAGCGCATGCTCCCGTCGCAGTTTAGTGCTCCGCACATGCTGCCCAGGTCGTACCCCGAGTCCTTCAGCCTGTGTGCAGTCCGTTCAGCACCTCGTCCCGCCCTGAACCCGTGTCTCTTCACCTTAGCGGCACCGTCGCGCTCTCAATGTGCGTCGCCAGCACCGCCGACGTCTCATACGTGCTCTTCGGCTGCGAACACCGCGTGAGCGACAGACGGACAGCACAGACAACCACCCACGTTCACACCCATCCTGCCAGCCCAGTCCCCCGCCGCCTGAACCGGCACGCTCAACGTCGCCAGCCCATCCAGCCCGACGAGCGCCAGGGCGTCGCTCACTGCGTTTGCCAGCCCGACATCCTGCCCGCACGCCATCAGCCACACACCACCGCGAGAGCACATCGCGCACTCACGTCGTCCGCCCCGACCCGCCCCGGCACGGCCCCCGACAGAATCGGAAACGCGAGGCACGCCGCCCTCGGCAGCTCGTCGCGCACCGCCGCAAGCAGCGCGGCCGCCAA